TTTGAAAACTCTAGAAACAAAAAGACCCATACATTTTTAAAATTAATTTCTTTATTTTAATAGCCCAATTTCTTTTTCATGAATGTAAATTTTCTGGCAAAAATTCTTTTTTTTTTTGCATTAAAAATGAAGTAAAGCATTACATATATTGAGTCTATATTACTCTCAAAGAATCAAAAAGCTATGGGAATTGTACATGTCTGTAAATCATTTAATGTATCCCTATGATATTGTTCATATCTCCCCTATAGCCTTTGAAAATTTCTTTGCATTTGTTGTACTTGACTTGTATTGTACTTCTTTACGTTATTCAATAATAAATAATTAGATAAATAAATAAATGAAGTTTCCAGTAGGAGTTTGCATGTTCTCCCTGTGTTGGTGTGGGTTTCCTCTGGGTGCTCCGATTTCCCCCACAGTCCAAACACATGCGCTATTGGTGAATTGAATAAACTAAATTGATCGTACTGTATGAGTGTGATTGCAAGAGTGTATAGGTGTTTCCCAGTGTTGGGTTGCGGCTGGAAGAACATCCGCTGGGTAAAACATATGCTGGATAAGTTGGTGGTTCATTAGCTGTGGCGACCCCTGATGATAAAGGGACTAGGCCGAAAATAAAATGAATGAATAAAAATTTCCAGTAGTGCACAACACAACGGAATTAAAAAAGCAACCATAAACTTCCTAGCTTAATTTAGTCTGCTTTTATGCAACTAAGGACAAAATTAAGTCAGGATAGTTTGAAAATCCCAGTTTAATGCTTGATCTTGCTTTTGTGCAATGTTTCCCTGGTGTTTTTATGTTATTGTGTTGTGTTTTTTTTTTTTTTTTTTTTGCGTTTTGCGTTTTGTCCATACTGGGCCACCGTACAGTAGACAGTATAGCTGCGTCCCAAATCGCATACTTATGCACTATTCTACGCCATTTTGAAGTATAAACAGTGTAAGTAGTGTGTTCACACTGAAAACTATAAAAATAATAAGTGCACTTTAATTTCCCGGATGATGCACTCATTCAGCCGCTAAAATGAAGTGTGTAATGATGGACACTTCACGCACTCAACTACCATATTTCAAAAGATATATAAATAGAAAATAAGCACATATGTTGGAAATTATCCTTATATCATGAAGAGGCCGAGTTTTCTATTAAACTAAAATATATTTGCCTTTCATCAGCACTATATAAGCTATTACGTTACATGAAAAATATAACAGACAGTGTACAGTTGAAAGCTGAATTATTAGCCCCCTTTTGATTTTTTTTTTTCTTTTTTTTTAAATTTTAAAACAAACACCATTTATGGTCAATATTATTAGCCCCTTGAAGCTAATTTCTTTTCCAATAATCTACAGAACAAACCATCGTTATACAATAACTTGCCTAATTACCCTAACCTGCCTAGTTAACCTAATTAACCTAGTTAAGCATTTAAATGTCACCTTAAGCTGTATAGAAGTGTCTTGAATAATATGTATTCAAATATTATTTACTATAAATAAATCAGTTATTAGAAATTAGTTATTAAAACTATTAAGTGCAGAAATGTGTTGAAAAAAATCTGTTCTTTGTTAAACAAATTGGAGGAAAAAAGTAAACAGGGGGACTAATAATTCACGGGGCAAATAATTCTGACTTCAACTGTAAATGTTCACAAAACATGTTTCTTTAAAAAAAAGTGTTTGTAGGTGTCTGTAAATCTAGATGCATATTTTGTTATTATATACTGGCTCGCACATGGAAGTTAAACAGTAAGATAAAAAAATATGTGCAGTCTTTCATGGTCATTTATTAATTACCTTTATTTAATTTCACAAATGTAATTGAGAACCACTCAATATCCCTCAAATAAATAAAATGTATTTGAATTAAAAATATAAACATTTTTTCACTGAGGCATATTACCAAACAGGGGAGCACGGGGGTAAAATGTAACACAGAGTTTTAAGGTATTTGCTCAGGGTTAACCATGGCATGCTTCAGAGGTTTTCACCACAGTGTCGGCAGGCGTCTTCCTGCCAATTATTGAAAAAGTTCGGCGAAATTTGGGTGAGAAACAGAGGAGAAACCATTTTTGCAGCATAAAAGTATTTTTTATTATAGTCAATGTTATTTTATTTTTTAAAAATCTGTGAAAGTATGTAAGTAAAATTTGATATAGCTGTAATTACCACCTCTAGGCTAAAAGATGGAACCATTTTGAAAGATGTAAAATAAATATAGTGACTGTCAGCCAGTTTTGTGGAAAACACGAAACATGACATTAAGGGTATGTCTGAATCCACTTTTGCTATTTTAAGGATGAAAAAATACACTCTGCGCCGCGGTGCATTTTCATGGAGGACTTTGTAAGTGGAAAAACTGAACGCATCACTAGAGAGAACACAGTTAAATAGCCTCTACAGCGAGAGGATAAAGAATGAGCCTCCTCCAATCAGCCTCCAATTTACTTTCTCTTTCACTTTCTCTCTTTCTTGGATAAAGAAACATGTTGTACGCACATACATTAGCCTACATAATTACTTTCGTTTGTTAAGCACAAAGATTTGTTTCAAACTATTTCTAAATTCAGTTCTAATTTCCAGCAAACGAATAAATGAACAATAATAATGAAGAGTTTTATTCAAACACACGTCCTGTTCCTATTCCCATATGGTCTAAAACCTGACAGGTGGACGCATCTAAACTTGTTTTTTTTTTAACAAATATTAATATGCATATAATAAGTATTTCTAATAATTATAACATTATACAAAAGCAAATTGTCATGAATGAACTAAAAAGCCCGCCGAGATGAAGAAGGCATAGAGGCAGTGGTTTTTATATTTATCTAAAAAATAATAATTTTTCTAATATTTAATTCCTTTCATTCTTTTTAATTAGTAAAGATATTTGTGTATTGCTGTACATCCTGTGTGTTTTAAGCAATATGTATGTGAAGCGCACAACTAACGCACTCTGCGCTGGACTTTAGACCTGCTTTCAACTGGTCTATTACAAAGTCTATTTTTAGACAATGCGCCTTAACACACCTTGTAACACCCATGAGTCCACAAATTGGCGCAAATGGATTTGGTATTTTAACAAATTGGTGCAAAAAAAAAACGGGAAAATTAGGGTTGCATTGATCTGAATATAGCAACACGTCAGGGAAACGCATCTTGCGCCTTATTGCGCCGGGTGTATGATAGGGCCCCAAGTGTTACAAATAAGCCACTCACTGTTGAACACCAATTAAACTGACAAAATAATGTTTCATTTTTGAGTGTAATGTTGAGAACTTTTTATATAAAAATGTTTTTTAATAGAAAAAAAATATTTTATTGCTAATAATGCAAATAAATGCATTTTATAATAATGGATAATAATCCAAAGAAATCCAAATGTGTTTATTCAATAAATAAATTTAAAAAAAAATTATAAATTGAGCTTAGTGAGGAAATATAGCTACTATTTAAAGTAAACAGAAATTAAGATAATTGTGTGAAATCTGCCTTGTTAAGCACATGTTAAAGCTAACCCCCTTTCTGTTACAACGTGCCCCCAGGTGGGGTAAATAGTAAAATTTTTACTCCTGGCACTTTTTGGAAATACTGCACAGAAACAATAGGTCCAGCGATCATAATTTCAGCGCGCATTTGTAGGAGAGGCTTTTGTTTTGTTGGTAAAAAATAGGGTTTGTCCAGCTCCATTACTTTGTTCATTATTTTGGCCAAAACCAAAAACTGTTACTTTCCGCCGCGCTCTCCCCTAACCGAAAAAATTGATTCAATTGTATAATTTGCACCCTGTTGTCAAGTACAATTTTATATATACACGTATGATACTGTACAATTTACTTTTAGACTTATGCCATCTAGGCCTACACAATATATGTAATATACAGTAGACATGCTTTACAGTTAACAATACACATTATTACCATACTTTTGAGTAGGGCTGGGCAGATAAACGATATTATATCGAATTGCAATAAAATTTGTGTCAAAAACAAGGAGCAGCACTGAACTTTTTTACTCTATATTGATCTAAGAGCCAATCACACAGCAGAAATGTGCAACAATGGGAATCTTAAAGTGTGTTGATGTTAGAAATGTACAGAATTTTCGACAACCGAAAATGTATCGGCCTGAAATATGTTATGTCGCTTAATAGACCCTCAAATTGTTGTGGATCCAGTCATTGTTGGGGTACTTTTTTAAATCTAAAAGCATCAACAACTAATATATCGAAATATATATTATTATCATTCAATATAAAAAACAATTATTGAGATTTTTGCCATATCACCCAGCCCTACTCTTGAGCTGCTTTTTATCAATCAATGACAACAAAAAGCTGTACATGCATTAAAATAATAATAAATGTACTGTATAAAGTGTATTATTGCAAAAAACACGTTATATCTTTAGAAAAATCTTCATTTGTAGTTTTTCCTTCCAAATATATGCATTTAAACAACTACATTTAATGTAGGTTATTATTTAGGTGAAGTTTTTCAAACTAATTTCGAGAGGAGCACGTGATATAATTGACTGCAGCTGGCCACCTATCTACACTCATTAGTTAGCCAATCAGATCTATCCTAACTCACTATAAGTAGCCTAGCTAGATATTACTTCCTTATCTTCGTTTTCCAAAGAAACCCCCCCCCCATCCACCCCCTTTCTCCTCCTTTTCTCCTTTACAAAAGGGGAGCTCTCGAGAACCACCTGATCTCGTACTCCCCTCACATGCTATATGGACCTGGCGGGAGCCCTGGGCTCAACTATCTCCGAGCTCAGGGTTCTCTCCCGGGACAGCATTCCAAACCTGCTTACAGTTGTCAAGCAATATCTAAGTGTGAACTCTTGAAATGTGACTGGCACTATAATGCACCTGTCGGCACAACAACACCAAAAACAAATTGATGTAAAAAAAAAAATAAAAAATCACAATTATCTCCTCTTACATTTTTTAAATTATTTGTTTAAAACGAGATTTATAATTAACAATTCCTTCCGCAGGTGTGTCTGAGGATGACGCGACGGGAATTTCACTGGCAGAGGGCGATTCAGTCACTCTTCACACTGGTGTTGAAACAAGCCAACAGAACAAAATTAAATGGTATTTTCAGAATATTCTCATAGCTCAAATCATTGTAAATCCCAGTCAGATCTGTACAGATGTTCAGTGTAGTAATGGCACTGAGAGCTTCAGAAACCGACTGAAGCTGGACAATCAGACTGGATCTCTGACCATCATGAACATCAGAAAAACAGAAGCTGAAGATTACAAACTAAACATCTTCAGCAGCAGCAGCAGACCCCGTCAAAATGTCTTCAAAGTTTCTGTTAATGGTGAGTCATTAATGAATGTTAGCAAGTTTAGTACAATAAAATAGAGTAATAATACTAAACATGACCAAAACAAAGAAAAAGTTAAAAAACAAAAGTGTTTTTTCTTCTTCTTCAAGTTAAGAGAAATACTGAGGAAAATATGTTTCAAAAGATTATTCTGATGGATAATCTGATGGATAAAGTTAATAAATCACAGTGTACAGGACCAAAAACTGAAACAGGGTGTCCGCAAGGTCTTAAAAAGTGTTAAGAGTTGATAAATAATTATGAGAAAATGAAGGCCCTTAAAAGGTATTTAAAAGTCTTAATCATGTTTTTACAAGGTCTTAAATTTTGTTCAAGCTTTGTACAAAGTGACTCCAAAAAAGCATAAATGTATTTATTTTCCTCCTAATATTAACAATGTATTAATATTAACGCGATTGGTTTGGGCCGATGATCGTTTGGCCAAGCTCCTCTGTCCGGGTGATGTCACGTCATTTGCAACAATGGCGGGAAGGTGATGTGTCGCTCTTCACATGTAGCGAAACCATATAGCAGGGATTACCAGTCCCTGCAGGGTTTAGCTCCAACTTGCCTCAACACACCTGTCTGGATGTTTCAAGTATACATAGTAAGACCTTGATTAGCTTGTTCAGGTGTGTTTGATTAGGGTTGAAACTAAAATCTGCAGGACACCGGCCCTCCAGGAACAAGTTTGGTGACCACTGCGATAGAGCAAAACATGACAAATGGGGAAAATGTAAGTTTGAATACTCCTAGGTGGAGAAAGACCAGTTTAAACAGTAGCTGAAGCCTGTCCCTGAAAACAACCATATAATTTATTCTTTTAAACTTGGAAAAAAGATTTATTTAACTACAACTGTTTATTAACTGTTTATTATGTTAAAGTTTGATACTGATTAGAACTTGAAGTAGCGATGAGGTATTAAATACTCTGAGAAGGTCTTTAAAACGTCTTAAAAAGGTATTGAAATTTCCATTAGGATTCCTGCATATACCCTGTGAAAATGAAAAAGCCCTGTTCCCTTTAGTTCATAAACAAGATTTTAGAATAACCAATAACTTTGATGACGACCAAAGCATAGAAAAATAATACAATTTAGTAAGGTGATTAGTAACATCAAGTGCTTCATTCGGAAAGTATTCATAGCGCTTCACTTTTTCTACATTTTTTTTTATGTTACAACCTTATTCCAAAATGCATTAAATTTGTTTATTTACTTAAAATTCTACACACAATACCCCATAATGACAATGTGAAAATTAGTTTTTGAAATTGTTGCAAACTTAGTAAATATAAAAAAGTCAAATGTACATCAGTATTCTCAGCCTTTGCCGTAAATCTCTAAATTAAGCTCAGGTACATTCTGTGTCCACTGATCATTCTTGAGATGTTTCAGCAGCTTCATTGGAGTCACCTGTGGTAAATTCTGTTGATTGGACATGATTTGAAAAGGCAAACACCTGTCTATATAAGCTCCCAGAGTTGACAGTACATGTCAAAGCACAAACCAAGCATGAAGACAAAGGAATTGTCTTTAGACCTCCGAGACAGGATTGTCTCGAGGTACAAGGCTGGGGAAGGTTACAGAAATATTTCTGCTTCTCTGAAAGTTGCAATGAGCACAGTGGCCTCCATCATCTGTAAGTGGAAGATGTCACCAGGACTCTTCCTAGAGCTGGCCGGTGATCCTTAGTCAGGGAGGTGATCAATAACCTCTCTGTCTGAGCTCCAGCGTTCTGATGTGAAGAGAGGAGAACCTTACAGAAGGACAACTATCTGTGCAGCAATCCACCATCAGGCCTGTATGGTAGAGTGGCCAGACGAAAGACACTGACCACCTGTAATTTGCCAAAAGGCACCTGAAGGACTCCCAGACCATAAGAAACAAAATTAACTAGTCTGATGAGACTAAAATTGAACTCTTTGGAGTGAAAACCAGGCACCGCTTTTCACCAGGCTAATACCATCCCTACAGTGAAGCATGGTGGTGGCAGCATCATGCTGTGGGGATGTTTTTTAGCAGCAGGATCTGGAAGACCAGTCAGGATAAAGGGAAAGATGAATGCAGCAATGTACAGAGACATCCTGAATGAAAACCTGCTTCAGAATGCTCTAGACCTCAGACTGGGGCGATGGTTCATCTTCCAGCAGGACAATGACCCAAAGCACACCGCCAAAATATCAATGGAGTGGCTTCACAACAACTCGTTGAATGTCCTTGAGTGGCCCAGCCCGAGCCCAGACCTAAATCCTATTGAACATCTCTGGAGAGATCTGAAAATGGCTGTACACTGTCGCTTACTATCCAACCTGATAGAGCTTGAGAGGTACTGCAAAGAGGAATGGGCAAAAATTCCCAAAGACAGGTGTGACAAGCTTGTGGCATCATATTCAAAAAGACTTGAGGCTGTAATTGCTGCCAAAGGTGCATCAACAAAGTATTGTGCAAAGGCTGTGAATACTGATGTACATGTGATTTCTCAGCTTTTTTATTTTTAATAAATTTGCAACAATTGCAAAAACTCTTTTTTCACATTGTCATTATGGGGTATTGTGTGTAGAATTTTGAGGAAATAAATTAATTTAATCCATTTTGGAATAAGGCTGTAACTTAAAAAACATGTGGAAAAAGTGAATACTTTCTGAATGAATAACAAGCTCAGTTTAATTAAAACTAAAAAAAAAAAATTCTTAGTTTTAGATAAGTTCCTAGATTTAGATAAATTCCTTTTACTTCTGAAAATATGGACAAATCCAACAGTTGGGGTAAATATTATTCAAATTAAATTTTATTAAAGTAACTAAACATCAGGTTTGTCCATATTTGACCCAGCATAGAGTTAATACGAACCAGAATTTTTATACTATTGGCTTTAAAAAAGGCTTTAACTACAGATATGATTTGTTTGTAAAATTTGAATTCAGAATAAAAGATTCCCTCTCAATCTCTGTTTTACTATTTAATTTATGTTTTTTAAAGCCCAGAGTTGGCCTTAATTTTTTAAAAAGGTTAGGAGGGCCAAACAATGTAACCTCAATCCTGTTTAATTCAATTAAAGAAAATTATTGGCCATCCAGTTTTTCAATGTCATCAAAATAGGCCAACAAAAGGACACTATCAGTACCTGATTTCGAAGGGAAATAAAGCTGAGAATCATCTATGCAAGTATGTTACGAAACTCTAATAGGGGAAAAAATTTTGGTCGCAAAATAGCCACAATCTGTTTAAATTGTTTTTACTTTGTTCCCCAGGATTAGGGAATACTGTGTGTAAAATATTTCCTTACAATCCAATATTTCAGTTTATGTTTAAAATAAACATCCTCTTTCATCTGTTGGTTTGTGTTTCAGATGATTCTGCTGCCAAAGTGAAGAGAAAGTTTGTGAAAGGGGGAGAATCTGTCACTTTAGACACTCGTATACAAATTAAAACCACTGATGTGATAAAGTGGCATTTTAATGACCATCTTATTGCTGAAATCAATGAAAATGGAGAGGAGCGTTTCAGAGAGGGATTGATGTTGGACAATCAAACTGGATCTCTGACCATCATGAACACCACAGACTCTGGAGATTATTATGTAGAGATCATGATCAGCAGAAGCAACAACTTCAATGTCACCATCTTAAAGAATTTCAGCGTTAATGTCACTGGTGAGTATCATTAAAAGCCATGGGCATTTGTCAAGAGAGCCACTCTTATTATGCAAGCATGGTCGAACTACCCGCAACAGCGGAGAGCAGCTTGGGAGACTGGCGGCTGAAAAAGTATGTCAATCACAGTGATTAACACATGTTTTCTCTCTGTGATTGACTAAAGAGAGAGGACAGTTCAGGAACGAACGAGAGAGAGACCCTTCTGATTGCTCAGACTAAAAAAAATTGATGACAATACAATCTTTTGAATTACCTGTACCACCGACCCTGCCTTCTTCTTCCAAACAAACTTTTACTAAACTGGTGCAGAACCCTTGGAAGGAGGCAGGGTCGGCGATACAGATAATTCAAAAGATTTTAATGTTATACATTTTTTAGTCAGAGCACTCAGAAGTGCCTCTCTCTTGTTCCTTATCCGTCCTCTCTCTTTAGTCTTTCCGGGCCCAATCACTGAAAGAAAACATGATTACTTTGATTAATGTATTTTTTTCAGCCGCCGGTCTCCCAACCCGTTCTCTGGCGTTGCAGGTAGTTCAACCACACCCTCCCCGCAACAGTAAAGCCGCGGTCACACTGCACTTTTCTCCCCATAGACTTCCCTTCATACGCACGCGAATGCGTCAGACTGAAAATGCATGCGACAAGTTTCACATTTTGCTGTGTTACAAAGTCAAGCTTAGTGAACTCTGACCTGCGAAATCACATTACTTGACTGCGTGAGACCAATCGAAGATCAAAACACGACCCCTCTGGACAGAACTTTAAAATATGGACCAATCGCTCGCTTTTTTTAAATGTCTAATCACCTTGCTTTATTGCCGAATAATAGAATTTTGCATGCTGAAATTCTAGTGGGACCGCAGCATAAGTAGTACACTGATGAATTGGTGGCTCCAGGACCATGGTTTAGAATAAAGCCGCAGTCACACTACATTTTGAGCTTGCAAAATTCTATTGTACGCTGCTACGAAAAGGGGCAGGATTAAACAAGATGATTAGACATCTAAAAACGGAGCGATTGCTCCATATATAAAATTTCTGTCCAGAGAGGTTTAGTTTTTTTATTTATAAAAGCACAATAAAACAACAGTTGACCATTGTGCTGTACAAACCTAAAAACAAATCATAAAAAAATAAAAAGATAAAATGTAATACATTCAACATACCAAGCAACAACGATAAATAACAAAACACCAGATACAGCGGGTACAATAGGGTTAATTTTCTCAATTTAAAAAGCTTTTTCTAGGAGGTGTAGTTTAAGTTTCCCTCTAAACAAAGATTCATTAAAAAATTGTTTTAATGGACATGGGTAACCCATTCAACATTTTAGGACCTACTTCTGAGAAAGCTCGAGCTCCTTTTTTTTTTTTTTTTTGGATCTGGGAACAACTAGCATTTTCTGGTTAGATGACCTTAAACATCTGCCAGATTCTTTAACAGTGATAAGATTAGACAGGTAAATCAGAGCCAGGCCATTTAAAACCTTAAAAACATACATTAAAATTTTTAACTCAATTCTAAAACATATCGGCAAACAATTTAGAGAGCACAGGATAGGAGTAATGTAGCTAAACTTGAGAGTGCCAGTAAGAAGCCTAGCAGCTGCATTTTGGACCACTTGAAAACGATTTATAAAGGATTGGCCAATACTCTTATAAATGGAGTTACGATAATCCAAACGTGGTGATATAATTCGTTACCTTGGAATTATAAGGTTCTATCTGCGTTCTGAGTGATTGAGATAACGAGCTTCAAAGGTTTTGCATTCCATATAGCAAACAGTCCATGTGTAACATTTGTTTTTGAAATTAAAGGTCTTAAATGTAAACAACTTGTAAAAAACATACCATAACGTAAATAAGATTTCATTTAATAAGAATGTCAATAACTCAATTTTGACAAAAAATGTCAGATAGAGCCTTATAATTCTAAGGTGACGAAATGCATGAATTAATCTTTCAAATCTGCGCTAAAAATCTGAGTTAAAAAGCCCTTCACTTTGGCTAATAATCTCAGCTGGGGGAAAAAAAAAAAAAAAAAAAAAAAAAAAAAAAAAAAAAAAAACAGGATTTAACTACTGCATTTATCTGTTTGTCAAATAGAAGGGCAGAATCCAGTATAAAACCTAGATTTCTTACAGATGGTTTAACGCAGTCAGCTAAATTGTACAATCAATCAAATAACATTTGATTCAGCTTTCCCGAGCCAGCTAGAGGGCCAAAAACAATTGTCTCAGTCTTTTTCTCATTTAGTTTAAAAAAAAATAATTTGACATCCAAGCCTTAACCTCTAATAAACAGGCAGACAGTATGCATAGCCTAGCTGTTACAGTTTTGTCCCTTTTCTAGGGGTACGGAGACAAGTAACAAAATAAAATTAGGATAAAAAAAATAAAATAAAAATAAATAAATCTCAAATTTTAATTGGATCGAATTAATAATAAATTAATATTTAATAATGTGCGTGAAGAATCCCCTTTTTTCTCTATCCCAGCATACTTTCACTTCAGATATAATAATAATAACAACAACAACAACAACAACAACAAAAAAACTCTAAAAAAAGATTTCAAAAGAAAAATAGCTTTTATTCACTGTTTAACAAATTTTTATATATTTTTACATTTCCAGACAGGATAAACAAAAACAAAGAGATACTTAAATAAAAATTCTCCTAACCAAAATCATTATGAGAGGGTAAGGCCAAAATAACCAACAAAACAAAAGCTTCCTAAATTGACAAAGTTCTAGATTTCCTTAAATATAAATAGACAGACAGACAGACTCAAAAATCAATGACAATGCTCTTACCCCACAACCTGGCTAAATCCAGAAACAGGAGGAAACTTAAAGGCTAAACAAAAAAATAAATCAGCACTCGTCTCTCTACACGGCTTACTTTTCACATAAAGTTACACGTCACACTTATTCACACTATAATCTCACAAGATTCACAAGCTCAAAGTTCTAAATATCCAACAAAATCTCTATTGCACTATAATCACTGGGTTAGGGAAAACAGGGACTCTCTCCGTGCTTTGCTGCTCTGCCTCTTTATAAAGCCTGGAAGCTCAATCAACAGCGACCGATCCGATTTGCTCTGATTGAAAACAGGTGCGGCTGGTTTGGAACGCTGCTCAATGAGAGAGAGAGAGAGAGAGGCAGAGAGAGCGATAAATAAAACAAAAGGGGAGAGCAATAAGCTGCCACTCACACCAACAACTTATTACCTAAAGACATCATAGGATGTAACACTAGCACTCTCGTTTTGTTCGAGAAGCACATAGATTTGCGTGTCATCAGCATAAAAGTAACCGGATAGGCCATACTTCCTGAATATTGAGCTCGAGGGAAACAATAACAAACAGAACAGAACAGGGGCAAGAATAGATCCTTGGGGAACCCCACAAGTTAAGCGCACTTTCAATGATATACATTCATTAATACATACTAAAAAAAAAAAGTCTCACGAGCTTGCGTTACCGGACTGACACTTTCGTGTGCATATGAATGGAAGACTATGGGGAGAAAAGTGCAGTGTGACCACAGCTTAAAACTCAGCATTATTGTAAAATAAACATTGTCCATATTGATTTCATGTGGACTTTTTTAATGTGATAGTGTTTAAAGTCTTTTTCGTCCTGTTTCAGAGAAACAAAACTATCTACCAACATGATTGGCTAGCTGGTGTAACAGATAAAGATATTTTTCTTAGTTTTAGTGATTGTGTAGTTACTGTACTTTGAGTCTGCAGGGCAGTAAAGTTCATTTATGCAAGTTAAAGATAGCAAAATAAAATAAACAGAAAATAAGGTAAAAAAAACTCTTTAAACAATGGACTAAAAAGCTCAAAGTAAAGGAGCTGCTGCAATGAGTCTGGAAACTAACAAAGTCCATGTTTAATGAATATGTTTTACAAGAGAAATTATTGAGGCTGACATTGACTACGTTTACATGGACACCAATAATTTGATTTAAATGCGATTAAGACAATACTCTAAGAGTCGACCATGTAAACAGCAATTTTTTTGATAAATTTTAATCAGATTAAGGTCATAATCAAACTAAAGAGAAATCGAATTAAGACGTGTGGAGTATGCCGATTTTAGTCGCATTATTAAAATGCATTACAGACACATGTAAACACTTTAATCAAACTAATACCATCATGTAGGACTTTTCGCAGCGTTTTGTGACAGGATAGTCCACACACACACATACACACACATGGCTGTTTGACACTCTTTGCACCTACCGAGTCAGTGCAGACCTCAGACACCTGCATCGTGAAATGCGGAGGTTTTTCTTCTTCCATTCAGCATGCGGCATGAACTTCCATTAAAGCAAATCTTCCAGCAGTTCATAGTTGCATCTAATATCTCGTTTGTCATAAGGAACATGCCTGAATGAAAGTGAAAGTGCCAAACTGCAATTAAGGTCGACAAATTAATAATAAAACACCCGAACTTGCATGAAACTCCAGAGAAAATGCGGAGAGCACGATGACACAATGACGTCAATTTAAATATGTCCTATAACATGTAAAACGGGATCATGAAAAAAACATTCAAAAAGCAACTCGTGAAAACACCTTAATCTTATAATTTTCTTAATTAGATTAAGGCAAACAATTTAATTACTGATGTCCAAGTAAACATAATTATTGAGGGTGAACAATGTGTTGTGTAAATATTATCATACAATTAATTTTGTGACTGCATTCTTTATCTGTCAAAGTTATCTGGCTTTATTGAGATTTGTTTGTTCAAACACAGTTCAATCTGAGATTCTTGTCATATTTTATTACCATTATCCAAACTATTGGGCTGTTGACTGCTTAATTCTTATTACCTAATGCACATTTTATGTGTACTGTTATTTTTTTAGATTAATGCACTGCTATAGCTGCAAAAGCAGTGCATTACAGCACCATATCACTATGCTGAATGATTTCAGTTATTTCACAGCTATAGCCAACAGTAGAAAAATCACATCAAAACACAACAGAACGCTTAGGATGCGACGTGTAAGAAAGTAGTGCTACACACAGGATAAAGCTGTGCAAATAATCGAAAATCCGATTTCGATTATGGCTTCTAACGATTATGAAAAACCATTAATCGAGATAAACGATTATTGCATCATATACCAAAAATGCGAAAGACCGCGTGCTTATGTGTTTGTGCAACACGCGCACAAGCACGCTGTCAGCATTCTGTCTCATTCGCACACTGAGACGAGCAGAGGAGCGCAGACTTCTAAAGTAATCTTAACATGAGTGCTTTAATGGTCAAATAGGTGTCAAAACGCGGTGATTTGTGATTATTCATATTAACCCTCATTTGCGTAATAAATGAGTTGAGAATCAAAAGACACGTTAAAGAGAAACCATTAAAGAGACAGTGTGAAATGCTGCCGCCTGTTTTATCATTAATCAAACGACGAGAAAATTCCTCGCTGCTCTTGACTGAAGGATATTTGTAGCTAAAGTGTTTTTCTTAGGGTGAAGATGCTTAAAGCACAGTTTGTTTTATATTTTTATTCTATTGTATTTGTTTCTCTTTCCTTTGCAGGAAGGAAAATAACTGTATATATATACAGTTGAAGTCAGAATTATTAGCCCTCCAGAATATTAGCAACCCTTTTCCTCCAATTTTTGTTTAATGGAAAGAAGTTTTTTTAAACTTATTTCTAAATATAATAGTTTTGATATATCATGTCTAATTACTGATTTGTTTTATCTCTGCTAAGATGACAGTACATAACATTTTACTAGATGTTTTTCAAAATACAAGCATTTAGATTAAAGTGCAATTCAAAGGCTTAATTAGAGTAATTAGGCAAGTCATTGTATAACAGTAGATTCTTCTGCAGACAATCAAAATATATATTGCTTAAGGGGGCTATTAATATTGACTATTAATATTGATTGCTCTGTTTAACATAATTTGGGAAATAGTTATTTAAAAAAAAACTAAATTCTCAGGAGCGCTAATAATTTTGAATTAAACTGATAATCGTTTAGAATAATCGTGATTACAATTATGACCAAAATAATCGTGATTAGGATTTTTTCCAATATCGAATAGCCCTAACACAGGAGCAGCTTGAGGACTAAAATCTGACAATTGTCTGAAATGCAACATCTGATTAATGTTTGCAGCTGTGGGAATTATAGTTTAGGCGAAATAAAAATTGACATGAATGAGCTGTTAAATTATTAGGAAATAATGACCAGTCCACATCACCACATCAGGTGTGCATTATTTCTTTATATATTTCAATGGCCAGTCATCATTGTGAGAGATTTTGAAAGTGTCGAGAGTGATTTTTGGTTTGCATGTTTCCTGGTCGTCAATAATCCAGACTCCACTCTGATGTGAACTATTGAATATAGAACACTGAAGATCTGTGTTTGTGTTTAGCTGTTTCAGGTTTATCTTCACTTTTTAAAGCTATTCTACCGTATTTTACGCTGCCTGCTGCTGCTGCTGCTGTAATTGCTGCTACAACTGTTGGTGTGATTTACCATCGTCGCGTGTCATCCAAAAAGAGTAAGTAATAAAAACATTTTTGTTGGCCAATTTGAAAGGATTAAAGTCATATTTACTCACCCTTGAGTGATTTCAAACCTTTGAGTTTATTTTATTTTAAGTTGGACACAAAATAGGAAATTTTGAAAAAAAGCAGTAAACTGGTAATCACTATGTTTCCATTCAAAGATGCAAATTAAATTAGTCGCAAAACAGGAATATCACATAAAAGACGTGCGTTAATCCAATAAGTCAAAGAGAACAAAATCTTGATTTACTGATTCGCTGGCGCCAAATATCAACAGAAAAAATGTAATTTTTTTTTGCAGTAGGAGAAGCTGCATCAGTCTTTTCTTTTTTTTTCTTCTTTTTTTATTTATTTATATTAGTTACACTCTGCTTTTTATTCAAATATATTAGTCAGAGAGCCACAGCATCAGATACATAGAATCATTAGACATCATCTGCTCCAAATGTAGCGGCAGAACACAATTTGCTCGCATTCTCTGTGAATAAAGTAGTACAATTACATATTCTTGCACTAAGGAAAATAATAATTAAAAAAACACAAAAAAAAAACACATATTAGGCCAAACAACAATACACAAAAAATATAAATACAAATATGCAAAGAATACAACAGTAGAAAATAAATTAATAAAAAGAAAGAAAAAAAATCTCTCTCTCTCTCTCTCTCTCTCTCTCTCTCTCTCTCTCTATATATATATATATATATATATATATATATATATATATATATATATATAATTTTTTTTATATAAATAAACACTCTCCATATATAACTGAGCCAGGGGCAGGGAAAATAGATTAAAAAAAATTGTATTTGATAAATTGCTTGTACATCAGAAGACGAATGCCGACATGCAATGAACGTATGGCATTTGAAGGCGTGAGACACTCTTGACAATTCTGGAGGTCATTAATAATATAACACTAATACTGAAGTGATTACCATATGATCTCTTATAACAAAATCACATGACTTTTGTAATGCGCATCCTGGAATTTGTGCAATAAAAGTGTTTCCATCATAGTTTATGCTCATCTTTTCTTATCAAATAAAAAGTTTATCCTACAGTTATGCGCATTTTCAAAATGTATGCATATCATGGTGTTTCCATCGGCCGTCTTTTTATGTGTATATCCAAAATTCGTATAAAAACAGGTGGATGGAAACATAGCTACTGACTTTTATAGTATTTGTTTTTCCTTCTGTGGAAGTCAGTGATTGCAGGTTTTCAGCTTTCTTCAAAATATCTTCTTTTGTATTAACAAAGTGAACACAATTGAAGGGTGAGTAAATTATTACAAGTTTTATTTTTGGGTGAACTCTGTCTAAGATTCTAATTGTGTGAATTGCTTTTTAACACAGATGAGAAGAAAAACTTGAAAGAGATTCTGTATGCAGCCCCAAAAAAAGGTGAAATACTGTTGAAACTGTTGAGATGTGACACTCGCTTTAAAGGTCCTGTGAAAATGTTTTACTTTTTTTTATGTTACTTCAGTCTGTTAGTTTTAAGGATATCTATTAGCTAGTGAGCTGCAACACAGTGACAAATTTGCATTTAGTAAATGTAAAACAATAATAAAAATGTAAAGCTTGTAGTTTGTCACTACTGCCTAAATGGATCAACGATTTATTTAACATCACCTCATACTTCAGTTTCTCATTAAATCTTGACCAACCAATCTCTAGTATCTGACATGCCCCACCCCCATCAAGAGGCTTCTCTCACTGGCAGAGCTGTAATAAAATAAAAGGCTATTGGCCGTTTTTTTTTTTTTTTTTTTTTTCACGGGGAGGAGCCACAATATGTCCCACACTCTCAACATTTTTCAGTTGAGATTACGTCAAACATAATTTTTTTTTAAAAATGCACATTTCAAAACACTTCATGGGACCTTTAAGCCATAAAATCTAAATCTTATTCACTGATTAGTGCCAAAATGTGCTTATTTCATTTGTCTCTTTACACTTTTATTTTTTTAGTTGTCCTACTGATGGAAAAAGGGCCAAATCCAGCTGATGGGAGAGGATCTGGATTTAATGGCCCAATCAGCCAAAACAAACAACAATAACATTTTATAAGCATCAAAGTGCTATGGAAATAATTTAGAAATCTTTTTTTAAATCTGGATTTAGGTATGGGTTTGTGTCAAAGATTAATGTTTGTGTTATTCAAAAAGTTCCGGTAACAATTATTCTGAATTTCAAATAAGTAATATTGTCTTGAAGAACAAATGTTTTTCAGGATAATGAAAAAGTTTTCATTTATTATGATTGGAAGTCAGAAATTTCTTAACTAAAACATTTGTATTGTGTGGTTTTAAACATGAATACAGAGCACCTTTTTTATACTTTGTCCAAAAATGCTTTAAATAACAGAATTTTACAGAATAAATTAAAGTGTTTTACTTAAACTAGTATTACCTCATATAAATTATATTTGCAGGTAAACTTGAAGTTTTAAGTGGTCTCTTAATTCGTCCCATAGCACACAAATATATATTTTCTGCTAAAATTTGATGCTTATTGGTCACAAAAAGTTTTAGGTCATATTATTTGGTCAATTTTCTACAAAAAGTGTCTTTATAGTTTACAATTGTGCCCCATTATTTTGCTATATAAATGTTGTTATCGAGTTATTTTATAAAATGTGTAAAATTGTTACTACAGTATCAAAAAAGATATGGTATACATCCCTACTCACAGAGTGTTTATTTGTTTTTTAAATAGTTAATGTGTTTTATAGTGATTTTACTACCAAGTGCAATTTTAGGCTTTAGGCTTAAAATGAAAAATGTTTAAAAATGTTGACAATGTTGACAAATGTAAAAATAAAGAAAGAAACTTAATATATACAGGTCAGAATTATTAGCCCCATTAGCTTCAATTATATATATATATATATATATATATATATATATATATATATATATATATATATATATATATATATATATATATACACCTACAACAGTTAAGCCTTTAAATGTCACGTTAAGCTGTATAGAAGTGTCTTGAAAAATATCTAGTCAAAAATTATTTACTGTCACCATCATGGCAAAGATGAATCAGTTATTAGAGATGAGTTATAGTTCTGACTTAAGCTGTATAATTCTGATTTCAGCTGTATAATTTTGACTTCAGCTGTATAATTCTGACTTTAACTGTGTATACATATGTATATATACAGTTGAAGTCAGAATTATTAGCCCCCCTTTAATTTTTTTTCCCCCACATTTTTAAATATTTCCCAAATGATGTTTAACAGAGCAAGGAAATTTTCACAGTATGTCTGATAATTTTTTTTCTTCTGGAGAAAATCTTGTTTTATTTCAGTTAGAATAAAAGCAGTTTTTTTATTTTTAACACTACAGGTTTGGGGTCTTTTTTTCTGTTTTTTTCTGTTTTTTTTTTCAAGAAAATGATTCTGTTCATCAAGGCGGCATTTATTAAATATAAAATTTATTAAATATTTATTACTCCAGTCATTATTGCTTTTTTACTATTACCATTAATAATAATAATAATAATAATTAATATTAGAGGGATTTCTAAAGGATCATGTGACTCTGAAGACTGGAGTAATGAAGCTGAAAATTCATCATTAAAATCACTTTAATAAATAATTCAATTAAATTCTAAACTATTTTTGAACAGTTATTTTATAGTGTAATAACATTTCACAATAGTACATTTTGTACTGTATTTTAATGAAATCAATGCAGCCTTGGTGAGCAGGAGAAGCTAATTTTAAAACTTTAAAAAATCCTACTGTCCCCAAACCTTTGACCGGAAGTGTATATAGTGTATATATTTTTTTTTTAAATCCAAAGTATAAATATAAAGAAAAATTTTATTTAGATATGAATTTTTAATAAATCTTGGAAATTTTTTTAAGAATTTGTTTTAATGGTTATTTAATATGTATTTTTGTGTATGTGCACTTTTTTAAACTTTAAATCAAAGTTTGTATTATTGTGATTAAGTTCAATGCTGTTTGTTTGGTTAGAACTCTTGTTTAATAATGTGAAATGAATTGTAAAGCTACCTTTCTTTGTTATTTTTATTGTTAAATCATGCATGATGTTTTTTACTCGGTTGTGTTAAATTTCCACTGTTATTTCCATGAAAAAAACAGTCCATTATTATAGCAACAATTCAATATTTCTTAATTTTCATTTTACTGATATCTATGCTGTTACTTGTGAATTGAGGTAAAGCTAGTTTTATATTCACAAATTCGTTCAGTGACAACGTTTTGTTTACAACACTACTTTGAATATTGGGTCTGAAATCACATGTATGTGTAACTTGAAAACAACATCAGCACTATTTATTCGACTTTGAACAATGTTGTATGTTGATAGTCAGTGGCTGCTAATACGATTTCACAATTTAGAATTAGCAAAGAATGTTTTTGGGAAATTATATTATTAAGGAGAGTCATAATGTGTGAATATAAAACCAACTTTACCTCAATACTTGAGACTGTCATTTACTATGCTGTTCATCTTTGTAGCTTTCACTTTTGCTCCTTAACTTTTTGCTCCTTTGCTCCTTATACTTTAGATGATTGATTCATAAGCTTTTCTTTTTAACTGAGATATGAATTGTTTTATTTGAAAGTATTAAATAAACAGTTTACATCTTTTAATTTATCTTTAAGCATCAGTCTATCTGTTTGTCTGTCTATCTTCAAATGAATTTATTGGAGGCCCTGACAGACAGCTATACGTGGAGATATATTTTCATATATTTATAAATGAAGACGATGACGATCCAGTGACTGTAGACTTAAATATTGCACTGTATGTACTGGATTTGCTATCTAGTTTATTACTCATTTAATTATTTTCTAAACATTTAAGGAATTGGGTTATTAAACCATAGAAACATAGCCAAAAATAAAAATCTTTCTACATAACATGATGAACATAAATCAAGGTAAAATTTATCCAAAAAAAAAAAAAAAAAAAACTTAAAACATAAATTAAATTAAACCATAATTAGATGCATCTTTTAAAATAATAACAAAAGCCCAAGTATGCAGCAAATACAAAAACGTAAGAAATAAATCAAAATATTGCAAATGCCGCAAATACAAAAACGTAAGAAATAAATCACAATCATGATCAAACAACACTTTTTTTTACCCAAAGAATGAAAATAAGTTTAAAATTATATCTTTACGCTTAGGCATTTGTACTATCTAGAAGTCTTGACTGTGTCATACTAATTGTATTGAGGTTTAGATTAAACTGAAAGTGTGGCGTCCGAATAATAAAATGTGAGGTTGTCATCACTACAGACAAGAATCGATTCGTTCACGCTTTTTTCCTAGAGCACTAATCATTTTAAATGAATGTTTTAGTTAAAATAACATTACTCATTGACAATTTTTAACCATGATCCTTCCATAGTTTTGACGCAACAAGACAAAACAATTCAACAAAATCATGAACTGATACGAACAATGCTCTTTTTAAATGATAAGCCAATAGATGGCATTATTTAGAACAGGTCTCAAGCTCAATTCCTGGAGGGCCACAGTTCCGCAGTTTTGCTCCAACCCTGATCAAACACAGCTGATCCAAATAATCAAGGTGTTCAAGACTACTGAAGACTATTACAGTTTTTTTTACAGACGCTAGGACACATTTCTCAATACTTGGGTCACTTTTGCGAAACTCTTCACACAGTGAGCACAACAGATGTCTATGTGGGCTAAACTGAAGATCAATTATCATTGTTTTGGCACAAAATGCATTCAATGACTACATCTTTCAAATCTTTGTACGTACAGGAGAGTTTGCACATGCTTACTGTTTTTAAAACTGTTAAATTTATGTTAAAAACAATAATATAATGCAAAACTGACTAAGAGAGCAAAATTCAACAGCAATATTTGACTGAAACATATTTCAAACCTAAAAATGCCGTTTAACCAGCCAGATTAGCATTACTATTGTATCTGTATCAGTGGATGGTGTGTATACAAACTCTTGTGTTTTGGAATTACTTAGTGCAAAAAAAAATAATAATAAATGAACAACATATAATATTGAGGAATTATGCATCATGTCTGATTCATTCCAGTAACACAATGTGCAGTTATAAACAGGGATGTCCTTGTTTTAAACAAGAAAACACTTGAGTAATGCTACATGTTTTTTAGCTCATTGTTTTGTGGATGACAGTGTGTTTGTTGGCTGTCAACCTTTGCTAGTGTTCTGGAAGAATGGGTTTATTTGAGACCTGAAAAAAGTGTTTTGGTAGCTATATTGCATTTTAATTGTGAAATGAACTGCTTTGCCAAGCTGAAAGGGGGTTAGGAGAATCCTGTGAAGAGTTTTGTAAAAATGACCAAAGTTTTGAGAAATGTATCCTAGCGTCTGTTAAAAAAAAACTGTAGGCAGGTGTGAGTTGGAGGTGGTTGCAGTTGAACTATGCAGAGCTGCGGCCCTCGAGGAATTGAGTTTGAGACCATTCATTTAAAACTAAACCTCTCTACTACACGTGTACCACCAAGTATGTCGTAGGTGTTTCGATTACACTTTTTGTCCACAGTGAGGCGCCAAATAATAAAAGATGAGGTTGTCATAGCAAGAATGATTCGTTTTAGAGAATCGATTCGTTCGCGCGTTTTTTTTTTCTTTTTGCTAAATCAGTTCTAATCATTTCAAGTGAACTATTTTATTAAATATCATACTATTCATTGCTAAATTTTAGACTAAATTGCTTAATTAAGTTTACAATTTTACTCCACGAACAATCATTAAACAAGTGATTCGAACAACACCTCTAAAGGAATAGCCAAAAATGAGATCATGCTTAAAACTACTATACTATTTTGCATGTGTACTATCAAGCAGTCATATATGTCTGGATATTGAGGTATGTAACTATACCTCAACTGCTGTATTTTGTCCACAGTGGGGCGCCAAATAATAAAAGGTGAAGTTGTCATCATACTGACTGACATATTGAAAATGATTTAGAGAATCGGTTCGTTCGCGCGTTTTTTATTAAGCAGTTCAAACTAAAAAAAAAATGAATGAACTTTTGTCAAATATAACATGGTTTAGCGTTAAATTTTAGAGTAAAATGTGTAATTTAGATCACAATTTGATTCTAATAACAAAACAATATTTACAAATCATAAAATGACTCAAACAGCACATTTTCTAAATAATTAGCCAAAGAATGGCATTGTGTTTAAAACTACGCCTCTTGACTATTTCGCGTGTGTACCACCAAGCACTCTTGTCTGTGTCGTAATTTTGAGGTGTACGTAATGCGCATCGCTCACTTCCTCATGCAGCCTCATCACGGGTGTGGAAACACCTTCAACACGTCCACATTCAGAGGAAGAGAGAGAAAGAGGGAGAAGCGGGCGGTCAGTCGTTTGCCACCCGCGTATTTTTCTTTCTTCGCGTCCTCTTCTCTCCCTGATCTGTAGTTTTTCTTCTAAACATGGCTGCGCTCTCAGCCTGGTTCTGGAACGAGCGCTTTTGGCTTCCGCACAATGTCACTTGGGCGGATCTGGCCGACCCAGCGCCCGGGGTGGAGTACCCGAAAGCCGGCCACTTGCTCTCCGCGCTGCCGCTGGCCTTGGGGATCTTCGCGGTGCGGATATTTTTCGAGAGGTATGATTTCTGCCGTTATTGACAAGCTTTCAGCGCGCTTGGCACCCAATTAAACCTAACAAACTTCAGCTAAACTCAACTGCTGTGTACAATTTCAAGCTTGAGATATGAAAGCTACACATTAATGAGTGTTGGGTGTGATAAGTTGATGCTTGCACGTGTCTTGAAGTATTCAAAGTTCATTTGGGCTTTGGGAGATTTCTTGCTTGTGAAGTCTTGCTGCCTGATGCATCTGTCAGCTGACCAGCTTAAGGCCTGTTCAGAAAAGAGGATTGAATTCATTGTTCACTCACTGTGTTTTATGTGTGGTTTTTTTTACACCTACTTTTAGGGACTCTCTCTTTCTCATTTATGGAGAACATGCCTTTTTACACACTTCCTTGTTGAGCTCAAGTACATGGTTATCTGTTTGACACTGTGCTATCTGTAAGTAAAGTCAGAAATGAATGATAAATGAACACCACGCCTTTAGATGAGCACTGTAGCTATATTTATTAGAGTTCTTTGAGTTGAAGGGATTTGACAATGACATTTGTTTATGTGTCACTGAGGGAAAGTTTGGTTTTGGAAGAGCTAGTATTGAGGTAAAGTTGGTTTAATATTCGCACATTCAGACCTTCTACTTAATAATATAGCTGCAGAAAAGTATTGCAAACAGGGAAACATATTAGCAGCCAATACCTATGTTTCAGTCATTGAAATAGTGTCAATGTTGTTTTTGAAGTCATTATTACATGAGATTTTAGACACGATATACAAAGTAGCATGGTAAACAATACAGTCTGTGCATCACTTAAAAAGTTTGCTTTATATTCGCACATTCAGACTTTCTCCATGAAAATATAGCAATATTATATACAAAGAATATTAATAATTCTATTAAATTAAATATATTAAAAATATAGAAATCTATATTTGCAACCAGTGACTATAGTACAACAATCTCATGTAAGTGACTTCAAAACAACATTAGCACTATTTATGACTGTGAACAATGTTGTACTGATATTATTTGGCTGCTTATAAGATTTCCCTACTTGCTATACTTTTCTATTAAGGGCGAAAGTCTGAATGTGTGAATATAAAAGCAACTTTACCTTAATATTGATATTGAACATTCAAAATAGCGTGGTAAACAATATAGGGACTGTGTCACAAGTTGTCACTGAACGAATGTGAGAATATAAAACCAACTTTACCTCAATAGAGCAAGTGCACTCACAAACTACTTATTTTGTTGATCTAAAGTTGGTTTTATAGTTGAAAATTTAATCAGAGACAACTTGTGACATGCACTATATATTGTTTACCGTGGTATTTTGAATATTTGGTCTAAAATTGCATGTAAGAAGGACTTCGAAACAATATTAGTACTATTTAACTAGCTGTGAACGATGCTATACTTTGAAAGCCATTTGGCTAATAATATGATTTTACTGTTTAGGTTTTGCAAACAATGCTTTTCTAAAGTTATATTAAGAAGGTTAAGGCGAATGTGTGAATATGAAATAAACCTTATCCCAAGAGACAAGTACTGTAGGTATATTTGTTGGCATTTATAGAGTTCTTTGAGTTGAAGGGATTTGACAATGACATTTGTTTATGTGTCACTGTGGGAAAGTTTGGTTTTGGAAGAGCTAGTATTGAGGTAAAGTTGGTTTAATATTCGCACATTCAGACCTTCTCCTTAATAATATAGCTGCAGAAAAGTATTGCAAACTGGGAAACATATTAGCAGCCAATACATATGTTTCAGTCATTGAAATAGTGCTAATGTTGTTTTTGAAGTCATTATTACATGAGATTTTAGACACGATATACAAAGTAGCATGGTAAACAATACAGTCTGTGCATCACTTTAAAAGTTTGCTTTATATTCGCACATTCAGACTTTCTCCATGAAAATATAGCAATATTATATACAAAGAATATTAATAATTCTATTAAATTAAATATATTAAAAATATAGAAATCTATATTTGCAACCAGTGACTATAGTACAACAATCTCATGTAAGTGACTTAAAAACAACATTAGCATTATTTATGACTGTGAACAATGTTGTACTGATATTATTTGGCTGCTAATAAGATTTCCCTACTTACTATACTTTTCTATTAAGGCCGAAAGTCTGAATGTGTGAATATAAAAGCAACTTTACCTTAATATTGATATTGAACATTCAAAATAGTGTGGTAAACAATATAGGGACTGTGTCACAAGTTGTCACTGAACGAATGTGAGAATATAAAACCAACTTTACCTCAATAGAGCAAGTGCACTCACAAACTACTTATTTTGTTGATCTAAAGTTGGTTTTATAGTCGCACATTTAATCAGAGACAACTTGTGACATGCACTATATATTGTTTACCATGGTATTTTGAATATTGGGTCTAAAATTGCATGTAAGAAGGACTTCAAAACAATATTAGTACTATTTAACTAGCTGTGAACGATGCTATACTTTGAAAGCCATTTGGCTGCTAATATGATTTTACTGTTTAGGTTTTGCAAACAATGCTTTTCTAAAGTTAAATTAAGAAGGTTAAGTCGAATGTGTGAATATGAAATAAACCATATCCCAAGAGACGAGCACTGTAGGTATATTTGTTGGCATTTATTAGAGTTCTTTGAGTTGAAGGGATTTGACAATGACATTTGTTTATGTGTCACTGAGGGAAAGTTTGGTTTTAGAAGAGCTAGTATTGAGGTAAAGTTGGTTTAATATTCGCACATTCAGACCTTCTCCTTAATAATATAGCTGCAGAAAAGTTTTGCAAACAGGGAAACATATTAGCAGCCAATACCTATGTTTCAGTCATTGAAATAGTGCTAATGTTGTTTTTGAAGTCATTATTACATGAGATTTTAGACACGATATACAAAGTAGCATGGTAAACAATACAGTCTGTGCATCACTTAAAAAGTTTGCTTTACATTCGCACATTCAGACTTTCTCCATGAAAATATAGCAATATTATATACAAAGAATATCAATAATTCTATTAAATTAAATATATTAAAAATATAGAAATCTATATTTGCAACCAGTGACTATAGTACAACAATCTCATGTAAGTGACTTAAAAACAACATTAGCACTATTTATGACTGTGAACAATGTTGTACTGATATTATTTGGCTGCTAATAAGATTTCCCTACTTGCTATACTTTTCTATTAAGGCCGAAAGTCTGAATGTGTGAATATAAAAGCAACTTTACCTTAATATTGATATTGAACATTCAAAATAGTGTGGTAAACAATATAGTTGTCACTGAACGAATGTGAGAATATAAAACCAACTTTACCCTTAATAGAGTAAGTGCACTCACAAACTACTTATTTTGTTGATCTAAAGATCGCACATTTAATCAGAGACAACTTGTGACATGCACTATATATTGTTTACCATGGTATTTTGAATATTGGGTCTAAAATGGCATGTAAGAAAGACTTCAAATTAACATTAGTACTATTTAACTAGCTGTGAACGATGCTATACTTTGATAGCCATTTGGCTGCTAATATGATTTTACTGTTTAGGTTTTGCAAACAATGCTTTTCTAAAGTTATATTAAGAAGGTTAAGGCGAATGTGTGAATATAAAATAAACCTTATCCCAAGAGACGAGTACTGTAGGTATATTTGTTGGCATTTATAGAGTTCTTTGAGTTGAAGGGAATTGACAATGACATTTGTTTTTGTAACTGAGGTAAAGTTGGTTTAATATTCGCACATTCAGACCTTCTCCTTAATAATATAGCTGCAGAAAAGTATTGCAAACAGGAAAACATATTAGCAGCCAATACCTATGTTTCAGTCATTGAAATAGTGTCAATGTTGTTTTTGAAGTCATTATTACATGAGATTTTAGACACGATATACAAAGTAGCATGGTAAACAATACAGTCTGTGCATCACTTAAAAAGTTTGCTTTATATTCGCACATTCAGACTTTCTCCATGAAAATATAGCAATATTATATAAAAAGAATATTAATGATTCTGTTAAATTAAATATATTAAAAATATAGAAATCTATATTTGCAACCAGTGACTATAGTACAACAATCTCATGTAAGTGACTTCAAAACAACATTAGCACTATTTATGACTGTGAACAATGTTGTACTGATGTTATTTGGCTGCTTATAAGATTTCCCTACTTGCTATACTTTTCTATTAAAGGCGAAAGTCTGAATGTGTGAATATAAAAGCAACTTTACCTCAATATTGATATGGAACATTGTAAATAGTGTGGTAAACAATATAGGGACCGTGTCACAAGTTGTCACTGAACGAATGTGAGAATATAAAACCAACTTTACCCTTAATAGAGTAAGTGCACTCACAAACTACTTATTTTGTTGATCTAAAGATCACACATTTATTCAGAGACAACTTGTGACATGCACTATATATTGTTTACCATGGTATTTTGAATATTGGGTCTAAAATTGCATGTAAGAAGGACTTCGAAACAACATTAGTACTATTTAACTAGCTGTGAACGATGCTATACTTTGATAGCCATTTGGCTGCTAATATGATTTTACTGTTTAGGTTTTGCAAACAATGCTTTTCTAAAGTTAAATTAAGAAGGTTAAGTCGAATGTGTGAATATGAAATAAACCTTATCCCAAGAGACAAGTACTGTAGGTATATTTGTTGGCATTTATAGAGTTCTTTGAGTTGAAGGGAATTGACAATGACATTTGTTTTTGTAACTGAGGTAAAGTTGGTTTAATATTCGCACATTCAGACCTTCTCCTTAATAATATAGCTGCAGAAAAGTATTGCAAACTGGGAAACATATTAGCAGCCAATACCTATGTTTCAGTTATTGAAATAGTGCTAATGTTGTTTTTGAAGTCATTATTACATGAGATTTTAGACACGATATACAAAGTAGCATGGTAAACAATACAGTCTGTGCATCACTTAAAAAGTTTGCTTTATATTCGCACATTCAGACTTTCTCCATGAAAATATAGCAATATTATATACAAAGAATATTAATAATTCTATTAAATTAAATATATTAAAAATATAGAAATCTATATTTGCAACCAGTGACTATAGTACAACAATCTCATGTAAGTGACTTCAAAACAACATTAGCACTATTTATGACTGTGAACAATGTTGTACTGATGTTATTTGGCTGCTAATAAGATTTCCCTACTTGCTATACTTTTCAATTAAGGGCGAAAGTCTGAATGTGTGAATATAAAAGCAACTTTACCGCAACTTTACCTCAATATTGATATTGAACATTCAAAATAGCATGGTAAACAATATAGGGACCGTGTCACAAGTTGTCACTGAACGAATGTGAGAATATAAAACCAACTTTACCTCAATAGCAAGTGCACTCACAAACTACTTATTTTGTTGATCTAAAGTTAGTTTTATAGTTGCACATTTAATCAGAGACAACTTGTGACATGCACTATATATTGTTTACCGTGGTATTTTGAATATTTGGTCTAAAATTGCATGTAAGAAGGACTTCAAAACAACATTAGTACTATTTAACTAGCTGTGAATGATGCTATACTTTGTTAGCCATTTGGCTAATAATATGATTTTACTGTTCAGGTTTTGCAAACAATGCTTTTCCAAAGTTATAATAAGAAGGTTAAGTCGAATGTGTGAATATGAAATAAACCTTATCCCAAGAGACAAGTACTGTAGGCATATTTGTTGGCATTTTTAGAGTTCTTTGAGTTGAAGGGATTTATCAATGACATTTGTTTATGTGTCACTAAGGGAAAATTTGGTTTTAGAAGAGCTATGCACAAAGAAACTACTTATTTTGTTGAGGTAAACTCGGTTTTATAGTCGCACATTCGATCAAAGACTACTTATGACATACTTTCCAAATTGTTTACCATGGTATTTTGAATATTAGGTTTGAAATTGCATGTAAGGACTTCAAAGCCACATCTGCACTATTTATTTAGCTGTGAACGATGCTATACTTTGATAGCCATTTGGCTGCTAATATGATTTTACTGTTCAGGTTTTGCAAACAATGCTTTTCCAAAGTTATAATAAGAAGGTTAAGTCGAATGTGTGAATATGAAATAAACCTTATCCCAAGAGACAAGTACTGTAGGTATATTTGTTGGCATTTTTAGAGTTCTTTGAGTTGAAGGGAATTGACAATGACATTTATGTTTCATTGAGGGAAAGTTTGGTTTTAGAAGAGCTACACTCTAAAAAAAAATTCCGTAAAAAAACGGTAAAATGTACTGGCAGCTCATTACACAAATATTTTACCGTAAATTAAAAACGGAAAACTTCTGTTAATTGACAAGTGTGTCCACATTAAAAAAACAAAAAAATATCAGTTTTTTGACAGTTAAACTAATGTAAAATAACCAACCATTTTATAGTAATTTAAGAGTTTTTCTATATAAAAAACGGTTATTTTCTGTGTTTTAAAGGGTATACCAACAGTAAAAAAGCGGAAATATTCTGTGTTTTAATAGTATACCTACTGTAAAAAAACAGACAGATTCTGTGTTTTAATAGTATACCTACTGTAAAAAGAGGACTTTTTTTGTGTTTTAATAGTATACCTACTGTAAAAAAACAGACAGATTCTGTGTTTTAATAGTATACCTACTGTAAAAAGAGGACTTTTTGTGTTTTAATAGTATACCTACTGTAAAAAAACAGACAGATTCTGTATTTTAATAGTATACCTACTGTAAAAAGAGGAGTTTTTTGGGTTTTAATAGTATACCTACAGTGAAAAAATTAACAGATTCTTTGTTTTAATGGGATACCTACTGTAAAAATAATTATTTTACTAATTTAATGGTCTTCAAGCAGCATAGAAATGGCAATTGGTAAGGACTAACATATACATATGGGAAATACACTATTAATGGTTTACAATAGTAAAACAAAACACTTATTCTATACTGTATGTGTAGAGAAGCAGTAAATAGTTTATCTATGAACTTACAATGATTAGTACAAAAACAACTTTGCAATTAAAACAGATTTTTTAATGAAAACAAATCATTTGAATTCCAAATAGCTAGTTATACAAACAATAATACATATTGACATGTGAATCGCACAGTGAGAAGTCTTGGCAAATAATCTCATAGCAAATTAGTTTTAAATGTTAGCTTTAAGATAATTGAGGACAAGTGGGCAAATTACAAGTACTTTACATTAAGAAACCAGGTTAACTGCTAGATGGCAGGAAACAGACGATACAACTGGGTCTTCTTCCTCTCCAATACTGATACTTCAATGGCTGTAAAACAAACAAACAAAAAACAAACATTACTAATGACATTTCACTTACAACTGGGGTGATTCCTAGCATGTCAATAGTTCTGTTAATCATTGACTCTACATTAATAGATGTTAGCAGTCGGTTATAAATACAGCTACAAATGCTGTAATCTTGACTTAAGCACATTTATAATGTGCTTAATAATTGTGTTAACAAACTTTAATGATTGATTTTACATGACTATTTTTATATATATATATATATAAAAAATTATTATATTATATTATATTATATTAATTATTATATTATATTATATTGCATTATTTACAAAACTTCTTCCAGTTTGGTGGCCTAATCTAAAGTGAGGATTATTTATGATTTATAAATCCTTATAAACGACAGTTAAAGGCTCAGTATCAAATGAACAATAAATCATTACAGTCTTATCTAAAAAAATGTAATTACTGTAAATATGAAACCTTGTTGAATAGCAGGAGTGACAAAATATAACATAAAACTGGATAAAACAACAATAAAATAATTTAATGATATATTACGATGCAACATTTCAGTGTTATTTAGCTATGTTTAAACTGTACAGTAATTTCATTTTAGAAAAGATTTATTTTTCATTTAATACAATAAAATGAATTTCATTTTTAGAATATAACTGAACCTTTAATTGTGATTTATAAGGGGATTTACAAAGCATAAACAATCCTCACTTTAGGCTACAAAACTGGATGAAGTTAACAAAAGCACTTATTAAAATAAGTATTGTATATACTTTATATACTTATTTTTTATACTTTATATACAAGTATAACTATTACTATTCATTCATGTATTTTCCTTCAGCTTAGTGTGTACTCGCACTATGTACAGTTGCCTTGAACCAAGCCGAAGCACGCTTGTCCTCCCTACCGTCTCCCCCGACATCCCGCATTCACATTGCATTCAAGCCTGAGCACTCTTACATCATCGATGATGCCCCGTTTAGTTTAAGAAGTGCTCTCTCTCAGCACAGTGGTGAATTCTTAAATTATTTTGTTTTAGTCGTTTGGGATGCAGTAACACGCAGTCAAATATTTAGCCGAACAGATCAGCCACTTTTGATGTTCCCCGTGTTGCTGTGTGTTTGAGTACGCCCTTGGAAACACCAATACACACTTATTTACAAACACACTCATACACTACAGCCAATTTAGTTAATCAATTTCCCTATAGCGCATGTCTTTGGACTGTGGGGGAAACCTGAGCACCCGGAGGAAACACACAGCAACACGGGGAAAACATGCAAACTCCATACAGAAATGCCAACTGGGACTTGAACCAGCGACCTTCTTGCTGTGAGGCGACAGTGCTAGCCACTGAGCCACTGTGCTGCCCAACTATTACTATATGCCTGAATAATAAGATATTTAAAAAGTTAGTTTGAATAGTTTATTAACCATTTACTTAAACATTCTGAATGATTAGAAAAAAAATACACCAACTATTCTTAAATCACTGGTTTGTAAATAATGCAATACTAAATTTAGAATGAAAAATTAATCATTAACAAAATATGAAAACAAAATAATTAAGCACATTATAGATGTGCTTATAAGTCAAGATTACAGCATTTGCAGCTGTAGTTATAAACTGTATACTAAGATCTATTAATGTAGAGTCAATGCTTAACAGAACTTTTTGCTAATGCTTAATAAATTAATCAATAGTGTTTAGTTATTATAAAGTGTTATCGGTGTGCTTAATTACCTTTAAATCTTCCAAGGATTCTGAAAGTCTTTCTGGTCTGACAGGAATCGAAGGAGTTTAGATGGTATGTTTCTGCTTGGTGCCCTTTTTTCTGCTTTGTACCTACGTTCTGGATAGTTACTCAGCATGCTCCTGTTGTAAATACAACAAACATGCATCACCTTACTTGTCTTGTAAAAATGAAATAAACTTAAAAATGTAAAAACATACCTTTATATAAACTACAGAGTCAGGGCTGCTTCCTTAGGCTACATAATGTTTTGCACATAAGAGACTAAACATGTAGCTGACCACAATTAGGGGACAGCTCAATGATCTTGTTATTGTGACTGTGGACTCTTCTTCTGAAAAAAAGAAAAGAAAAGTGAGTTGTGTGTTGGGTCTGGTACACGCCCACATGGAAAGAATATGGAAAGAAACATATGGTTTAATATAGGTTTTTGATATATGTGACACATATAAAATTGGCTGTTTTCCTATATTATATGCACACCTATATGTTAAATTATTAATATTATTAATAATAATATAAATAATATAATTATTATGTAAAATTATTCAAATACATGTCTGTTACATAATTTAAAAGAAATTTTTAAAAAATTATTTACTTAATCAAATAAATATAGTGCAGAAACAAAAATAAGGCAAAAAACAACAAAGGAAAGAAAACAAAATAAAAAAAACGACAAACCATTTTGTTATACTTTTTCTTCTTTTCCACTATCTTTATGCAAGAAAGAATTGACCTTGCAAATGTTTCAGGAAAACGTGTAGACATCATAGCTTTCCATCTCCTCTTACTTATTTGCCATAGTTAAATTCCATAACATGCCAATTACATGTGATACCAAATTCAAGTGGCACATTCATAAGTTTTTTGCATTTTTAAAATTAGTTCTTTTCCAGATAGCAGACCTAAGTTAAATTAACATTGAAATGTTAAAACATCAATCAAACTATCATTGAAACAATGTTAAAAGTCATCACTGATTTTTAGGCAGTTTTCCACCCTGAAATAATGTTAATTCTATGACGATAAATAGACAAAACTGTCCCAAAATCAGCATTTATTCAACCAAAATTAAATCATTTTTTACAATGAACCCAACATTAAATAAAATGTTAAATCAACCACACTATCATACAATTAATGTTAAAATTTAAAGTTGATTTTTAGCCAGTTTTGCATCCTGAAAAAAATGTTATTACAATCACGATAAACAGATTAAACGGTCACAAAATCAGCATGAAGGCCTGGCTCACCATCAAGATGCCCACATTGAAAATGTCTTTCTCATCATCAGGTGGCTAAGAGAGAAAAAAAAAGAGATTCAGCAGTGGACCAGTTATTTTCTTATCATTTTAAACAGACATTACCAAAATAAAAAACTTGTAACATTTTAAATGTTGTAAAAATAAATAATAATAATAATAATAAATAACTGCTTTATTCATTTAACAGATTACAGTAGCAGCTTAAAAAAAACCCAGATAAAACACCCACATCAACCCAGTACTTTTAGTTTGAATACATGTTAACAAAATTCAAAATTGCTGAAGCAAAATGTGTTCCTGTAAACACTTAGTAAAAATATAGGTACAAGTAATTGGTTTTGCCAAATAATAAAAATAAAAGCTTCAATATCAAACAAAAACGCTGAACATTTTACCTCTTAAACTTGAAAGTTTACTGTCATCCCCTGTATGAAGTACAGATGGTCCAGCACAACTGCCTGAGTTCTGAAAGAGCAAACACATATTTTTTTTGTATTATTTATAAAAATGCAGTACTGACCAGTCAGCATCAATTTCTACACCAACACACCTACAACAAAAATAACACTCATTCAGTTTGAAACATGCAACATGTAGTCTACTTTTATACTTTACAAACTTTGTGAATAATAAAAAATTGAAAACATTTAAAACCCCAGGTGTATTTTATTTCATTTGTCTATATCAACTGAAATTTAGTTTGGATTGAACGTAAGATTTAAGATTTTTATTTAGATTGCTGTGAAAATGTACCTGTACCTTGTACTTATAACCAAAATGACAGAACCTGGAAGTCAACAAAGCAAAATATCAGTTAACCTTATATATATAAAACACTCAAAATCAAACAGAAAAAACGCTGAACATTTTACCTCTTAAACTTCAAAGTTTACCGTCATCTTCTGTATAAGGTACAGAAGGTCCAGCACAACTGCCTGAGTTCTGAAAGAGCAAACACATTCTTGGTAAAATTACAATAGATGCAATGCTAAATATAAATCATTGTTTCTTTTATTGGTTAAAAAATGCAGTACTGATGAGTCAGCATCAATTTTTACACCAACACACCTACAACAAAAATAACACTCATTCAGTTTGAAACATGCAGCATATAGTCTACTTTTAAATTTTACAAACTTTGTAAATAATAAAAAAATGAAAACATTTAAAATCCCAGGTGTGTTTTAATTTGTCCATATTAATTAAAATTCAGTTTGGATTGAATTTAAGATTTTAATTTAGATTGCTGTGAAAATGTACATGTACCTTGTACTTATAACCAAAATGACAGCATAAACATAAAGCAAATCTTATATCATATATCAGTGAACCTTATATCTACAAAACACTCAAAATCAAACAGAAAAACCCTGAACATTTTACCTCTTAAACTTGAAAGTTTACTGTCATCTCCTGTATAAAGTACAGAAGGTCCAGCACAACTGCCTGAGTTCTGAAAGAGCAAACACATTCTTGGTAAAATGACAATAGATGCAATGCTAAATATAAATCATAATTTTTATGGTTAAAAATGCAGTACTGACCAGTCAGGATTAATTTTTACACCAACACACCTACAACAAAAATAACACTCATTCAGTTTGAGACAGTATACATTTAGACTTCACAAACGTTGTGAATAATAAAAAAATTAAAACATTTAAAATCCCAAGTGTATTTTATTTCATTTGTCCATATTAATTCAAATTCAGTTTGGATTGAATCTAATTTACCTGTACCATGTACTTGAAAAGAACCTGGAAGTCAACAAAACAAAATATCAGTGAACCTTATATGTGCAAAACACTCAGACTCAAAATCTACATAAAAAGATTTCATTTGTGATAACACCATGTGTTATGCATTGTGTTCACTCTATTATCAAGGCTTCATTAAAATAAAACTCCTGATCTCCTAATAGTAAAGAAAGTATTATTTGCTATAATGATTCGAACTGACAGTTAGTTTGAAGAATTTTAGGACTGTGGAAGAACAACTCATATTTATATCTTCATATTAGCAGCCGTTGAGGTTCTTAAAAGTGAACTTGGCTGAATCTGCAAGTTGACAAGACGTTCATAAGTATAATATCCATGACAGTTCAACTCGACTACAACAAACATTTAATTGTGTGCTTTAAGGTACACGTTGTATTTGAGGCCTAAAACGCATGACAGTTTAAACACTATATATAATTTTAAATGTCACACACTTACTGTATCACTCTGTTATCTGTTACACACAAACACACGTCGCGAAATGCGGAAGTTTTTTTTTTCGTTCCATTTGGTGAGCGTTATTGAATTCCATAACACTCTCATCAGTTCTTGCTTCTTATTTGCGTCTAATACCCCAGTTTGTTACGCGGGATGAATGAAATGTTCATGAGTTAAAGTGAAACTGCCGAACTGCAGTTAAAGTCAGGCATCCTGCTGATTTGATTCAGAAGGGCACTTGTTTGTCAGACGGCTCACCGGTCAGGTATACATCCGCGCTAAACTACCAAAGTATGAAAGTCACCCAGCTCCCAACCCAACGTTGAGAATAGATTAACGGCGATATATTTTTTTATCGCGCGATAAAAGTCTCGCGTTAACGAGCACGTTAATGCTGATAACGGCCCACCACTAATAATAACTTTATGAGTGTGTATTTCCCCTCATACCGAGTTACTAATGCCTCAATTTCACGCGGGTCTAACTTATAACGTTACTTAAAAACCAGCAAAGCTGTTCCACTGAAACTCGGTCACACAGCCTTAATACGTCGGTCAAACTAAAGCTAACATTTGATAACGTCAGTAAAAATATGAAATTATTTATTAATATGCAAACAAACACAGACGGTCAGGTGTTACGAGCGTTTGAAACACGTTAACGTTAAGGTTTATTAATGGTAACGTTAACCAGTCATCGAAATACACCTTCATCACTATAACTTATATCAACCAAACTACACAGTGTCACAAACTTTAAATGCTATCCCTTGTTCAATGCACTGTACAAAGAAAACATTTTTATCTCTATAAAATAATTAACATACCTTTTACACTCTCACTGACAAGCTGACGTTTACCGTTAATCCAGTCTGACTCGCGCAGGTGCAGAGGGAGTGAGTGGGTGATTGGGACGTCACATCACTTCCCGCGCACGGCAGTTTAGAAAAATACGGACAAACAACTGTAAATGAACAGATATCATATTTACTGATGAGGAAAACGCATAAAAAGGTAAAAATTCATTAGATAAATGCTTGTTTAAATTACATTTAACCACTCATAGCTCAGTTTGATCTTAATGATATAAAGTCTGATCTTGTTAACAATATTAAACGTAATTTACTGCTGTACTTTCCATGGCCGCTTCAGACAAGACAAAAATCATTTTAAATAACGATACAAATGTAATAAAGCAGTATTTTAACTAAAATATTGTTATATGTTTTATTAATCGTACTTACCAGGGAAAAAACAGAGGAAGAAATATGTCCCGGTGTCCATCAAACGCTGCCTGAGCTGCGATCCCCTTCCCATAATGCAATTCGAAAATGTATATAAACGGAAAAACAACCGTAATACGTGTATACGGAAAAAATCCGTTAAAATATACAGTCATTTAACTGTTATTTTACAGATTTTTTTTACAGTGTAGTGCACTCAGAAACTACTTATTTTGTTGAGGTAAACTCGGTTTTATAGTCGCACATTCGATCATAGACTACTAATGACATGCTCTCCAAATTGTTTACCATGGTATTTTGAATATTAGGTCTGAAATTGCATGTAAGAATGACTTTAGAACCACATCAGCACTATTTATTTAGCTGTGAACAATGCTAAACTTTGATAGCCATTTGGCTGCTAATATGATTTTACTGTTTAGGTTTTGCAAACAATGCTTTTCCAAAGTTAAATTAAGAAGGCAAAGAATGTGTGAATATGAAATTACCTTAGTAAAAAATTACTGTAGGTATATTTGTTGGCATTTTTAGAGTTCTTTGAGCTGAAGGGATTTGACAATGACATTTGTTTGTGTGTCATTGAGGGAAAGTTTGGTTTTAGAAGAGCTAGTGCACTCAGAAACCACTTATTTTATTGAGGTAAAGTTGGGTTTATATTTGCACATCCAATCAGAAACAACTTGTTACATGCTCTCTATATTGTTTACCATGGTATTTTGAATATTGGTTCTGAAATCACAAATAAGTTTGACTTTAAAACAACATTAGCACTATTTATTGACTGTAAACATTGTTGTACATTGATCGTCATTGGCTGCTGATATGATTTCACTATTCAGAACTTGCAGTTAATGTTTTTGTGAAATTATTTTATTAAGTAGAATGTCTGAATATAAAACTTTACCTCAATACTAATTTTGGACATTTACATGACACAATACATGATATATATGTATGTATGTATATATGTATATATGTATAGTTTTACTGAAAAAACAATATGTATTCTGGCCTTTCTTAACGTTTTGACTATAAAACTTATAAATTTTTATTTTGCGGTTGTGATTTTCAAAGGTAATACACCTTCCCTTCACTCAGTTTTTGAAATGTTACCATCAGGACGCAAGCTTAAAAAATTCTAGAGCCCGAAGAAATGCCTATAAAAAGTAATTCATCTCAATTGCAGTTGTTGTATTAAATCGGATCACTGTTTAATGTGAATGCTGCGGTTGTTAAAAATGATCTGCACTCTGCAGTAATAAATTTTTTGTGGTTGTTTTGATGAATCTTGCTAGTAAGTGATTGTTGTTTGGTTTTATTTATGTTGTTGTACCAGTGTTAAAGAGAAAGTTCCTTTCTGTGCTAAGCAGAACAAACAATAAAGTTAAAACTAAACTGCTAAATAAAACAAAATTTAGTTTTTCGGTGTATATATATATATTAATAGCCAGAATGGGGTAGGCTAAATTGTCCGTAGTATATATGTGTAAATTTGTGTATGGATGTTTCCCAGTGATGGTTTGCAGCTGGAAGGGCATCCGCTGTGTAAAACATATGCTGGATAAGTTGGCGGTTGATTCCACTGTGGCGATCCCATATTAATAAAGGGACTACGCCGAAAAGAAAATGAATGAATGAGTGTTATAGCCATAAATGAGTACCTAAACAACAGTAGTGGACAGTGTTTCCTTATCATTTGCTGGCTTTGCATCCAGAATACAACATTTGTAGTCACTTTCACAGATCTTTTATTGCATTGTTGCTGCCTATACCTTTAAATTTTTCACATGTTGAATATTTTAGAAAGACTTTGAACTCAGCAGATATTTAATGTCAATGGCTGCGTCCGAATTCGCACACTTCCATACTATATAGTACGCTAAAATCAGTATGCAAGCCGAGTAGTACGTCCGAATTCATAGAATTCGAAAATCAGTATGCGAGAAGATGATGATTTGCTATTCTGAAGTGCGTATCCCATGCACGCTACGCTATCCCATGATGCCCCATGAGAGAATTCATGAATGGGAGTGAAGCGACGCAACTGACAATTTGACTTTTAATGTCTGAAAATGTCTTGAATTCTGTAATTTTCCACAAGGAGGATCATAAATTTCATGTGGGATCCTAAATCTCATGTCCGACTCGTCATTTTTATTTTATTTTTTTTCAATCGCAATTTGACCAGCGCAACATTTGGGGGCAGCACTTCGTGGGTGCAACCTGCATCATTCCATCGGTGACATACGAGTAAGTGATTGATGAATGCGTTGCATTGATGGTTCGCCACCATGGCATTTTGCAAAATCGCAAGCATGGGCAAATGTTTGTTTGATGACAATTGGTTGAAAGACGAAAAGTGGCGGGGCTGGCTGAAGAAAACAGCCAGTAATGTTAAAAGATGATAAAACTGGGGACAATGGGCCACAAAGTGCTCGATTCACACATGAAAGCAGAGAAGCACAAGAAGTATGTGTCGTCGCAGGCAAGTCGCTTGCCCATAAGTATGTTCTCATCGAGCACTTCGATCTCTCAG